GGGCTTGGGGCGGGGGGCTGGGGCTGCTGCGTGGGCTTGGGGATGCGAGTTCTGCACGAGTTTGGGCTTGGGGATGGGGCTTCGGCATGGGTTTTGGCATGAGAATGGGGCTTCTGCATGTTTTGGGCTTGGGGATGGGGCTTCTGCATGGGTTTCAGCATGGGAATGGGGCTTCTGCATGGGTTTGGGGCTTCTGCATGGGTTTGGAGATGGGGCTTCTGCATGGATTTGGGCTTGGGGATGGGGCTTCTGCATGGATTTGGATTTGGGGATGGGGCTTCTGCATGGATTTGGATTTGGGGATGGGGCTTCTGCATGGATATGGGCTTGGGGATGGGGCTTCTGCATGGATTTGGGCTTGGGGATGGGGCTTTTGCACAGGTTTGGGCATGGAGACAGGGTTGTGCCTTACTTTGAGAACGTAGGGATGTGGTTGTACACGGGCATGGAGATTGTACGTTGGTCTGAGCACAGGTTTGTGCCTGGGATGGGGTTGTGAGTGGTTTTGCGTGAGGACGGGGTTTGTGCGTTGTTTAGGGAATGGGGTTGTGCATTGGTCTGAGCAGGGGCTGGTTGCACGGGATGGGGTAGTGCATGGGGATGCAGATGGAGCTTAACGGGGTAGGGGCTGTGCAACAGTTGTTTGACGGGGATGGAGCTGTGCATGGATTTGAGCATGGGACCAGAGATGAGGACAGGGGTCGGGGATGGGACTGTGCGTCGGCATGGGGTTAGGTAGCAATGGGAATAGGGCTCCAGGGCTGTGCCTGGAGCTGGGGAAAAGGCTTTGCTGATGGAGATGATTATGGAGCGCTGCATGAGCGTGGGGTCGGAGATGGCGATGGGGTTGCACATGCAGTCCGGATTGAGGATGGCTTTCAGGGCTGGGGGTGCGCTTGGGGACGGGCTGCGAGGTGCAGCCCAGCCGGGACAGGGCGGGCAGGGGTGCTGGAAGCCCTCGGGGGATCTCCCCCTCCTCCCCTCCCCGGCATCTGATGCTCTGCCCCGCAGCGGGGACCGGGGTGTGCGGCTCAGTTTGGAGGCAGCTTCTCCGTGCAGCATCCCCGAGACCGGGAGGGAGAAACCCCGCCAGAGCCTTTTCAGCCCGAAAAAAATCCGTGGGGCACCGCGACGGGACGGGACGGGGAGGGAGCGCGGCCGCGGGAGCGCGGAGTCCCGTCCCGTCGCGGGTCTCCGTGCGGGGCGGCTCATCCCCGGG